CATCTATTTCTCCATTCAGCTGCTTATACCCCCTTTCCTTTGTCTAGTCAGTGAGAATTTCTTGGATTCCCTCTCTGTACCGGGCCTGCATCAGCTCCTATGGGCCTCTGAGGTTGGCCAGAGATGGGACCTTCTGACTCAGGAGAACCAGGGCCAGAGCACTCAGGGTCATGGAACTGGTGGATGGGAGTATTTTAAACATTCCCTCTAGCTGTGGTTTGGGGGTTCGATCACATGGGGCAGAGGATGGGCATAAGGAAATCCATCAGGAGCCTGTTGCTGTGTCCTGGCAGGAGTGGCCTGGGCAGGAAGGTGGCGTGGGCAAGGAGATGGTGGGTGGCTTTGGAAATTCAGGAGGTAAAATACAAAGGACCAGCTGGGCGAGGGAGTAGATCTGGGGACTGAAGGAGAGGGAAGAGGCAGGCTTCTGTCTGGGGCGATTGGAGAAGGGGTCAGGAGCCAACGGACCCCCCAAGTGGAGTGAGAGGAGGAGAGGAAAGGTGATGGTGAAGAGAGGAGGAGGGTGAAGGAGAGGTGAGGAGGAGGTGAGGAGGGGAAGAGAAGCGGGAGAGGAAAGGGAGGCGGAGGTTTGGAAGAGGAGAGGAGCTGTGTTGGCCATTGGTGCTGTGGGACATCCCGGAGGGCACGCCGCCTGAATGAAGCCTTTGAGGGAGAACCGGGGCCCCGGCTCCATGCTGGTGGGTTAGTGGCTGGGGACCCTAAGCAGCACTAGAGGGGAGTGAGGAAGTGAGCCCGGGAAGGACAGGAGTCACTGTGGGGTGTATTTTTCGAAAATCACGGCTGGGGCGGTGGGAGCTCAGCCTGGCTGAGGAGCCTGTGGAGGACGTGGAGCAGGCCCTGCAGAGTGTGTGAAGGGGCAGGAGGCTGCCCTGCCAGTTGGTGGAAGGCTGCCCCGGGCATTCGTTCCTGCCTGCTGAGAGCTTTGGGCAGGAAGACTGGGGGAGGTTGGCTACTGGGTAATGGTCCTGGAATGGTGAGGCCCGGGTGGAGCCCTGGCCACCTCTACACTCAGCACACAAGCACAACGTTGCTCCTTCCCTCCTAGGGCCTCCCAAGGCCTTGGCACAGGAAGCCTGCGCTGTGCTATCTGAACATTTGCAGGACATGGGGTGCACGGTGAGCAAAAGCAGAGGGGCGAGCATTTGGCTGCAAATGTGATTCTGTGCAAGGGCTCATCGTCTCCCAGATGTAAGGATGGGAATGCCCCTCCAGCCTCTTCCCTCCAGCCCATTCCTGGCCATCCCAGCCCGCCTCAGCCTCCGCAGGCCCCTGAGCATGCCAGCACGTTCTCCTGCCCCTTCTCCCACCTGGAATGCTCCCCCCTCCCCCCCCACTCCCGGTGCCTGTGGTGCACCCGCTGGCCTCACTTCCTGGGTGACTGGGAAGGGAGCCTCTCAGAATCTCAGTCTCCCCATCTTCAAATGGAAAGTTGGATTTTTTAAGCTCCTGGGCCAAGTCTGATACTCAGTGAATGAACCAGGAAAGTCTGAAGCTGCTCCTGAGAAACAGGTGGTGATGGATTGGTGATGCCGCCACAGGCACCGGCTGGAGAGGCGTGTGGCCACACCCTGGCGTCCCCTGAGCTAAGTGCCTCTAAGATTCCTCCAGTTGCAGGACTTGAGGCTGTGAGTGCCGCAGCCCCGGACATGCTAAGCCAGGGCTGCATGGCTGTGGGCAGGGGGACTGGCGTGGGCCTCCCCTGCTGTCAGGGCTGAGATTTGAGCTGTCTGTGTGTCTTATCCACATGGGAACACCCTCTCGAAGGCTCTGTAACCCTGGGCAGGTGGATTAATCTTTCTGAGTTTCAGTATCCTCACCTGGGAAATGGGTGACAGACATGATGTTGCTGTAGGGATTAGAGCTCTCAGAGCAGTGCCTGGTGGGTAGTAGACACTGATGACTATACCTGCACCTCTGAAGGGGCCCTGCGGGTGGGAACTTGAGCCTGCCCCTTGGGGGCCTCCTCCATTGGCCCTTGGAGTCGCTGCTTTCTTGGCAGTTGAGAGTGTGGGCCTAGGCCTTGTCCTGGTGTCCTCCCAGCTGCCATCTAACCTAAGGGAGGTGTCCAGAGCCTCAGGGGATGGGGTGTGGCCTGATTTGCTCTGGCCTCCCAGTAGCTCTTGGGCCCCTCCCATGGGTCATGGTAGCTGTTTCTCTAAAACCCCAGCCCAGGCCTGACCAGTGAGCTGAGCGTGCTGGTTGCCGACCCTGACCTTGACCCTGCTGGGGCTGGTAGGGACAGCCTCGCCTCCACTCAGGGTTCTGAGTACATGTTCTCCACTGCCCCCTCTCTGCTGCTAAGCTCGCTTCACTGCTGTCTCTGGTGTGGAAGTCACCCCACCTTTTCTGGTCCAGGTATCACACCCCAGTGTCCCGTCCCCATTTTCTCCCAGCGATGCCCAGCACCTCATTGACCAACCTGAGCGCCTGCCAGCAATGACTCTGGTCCTTTCTCTTCACCATCTCATCCTGGTCTGGAAGTTGCTTTGTGACTTGGGATTAGTCTCAGCCTCCGTTTCCCCATCTGTAAAATTCGAGGCTAGCTTCCTTGCTAAAGCCTTTTTCAGCAAAACAAATCTAATTTCATTTCTTATCTGGTTTAACTAGGTGCCCCCATTGAGCAAGTGCCACGCAGGCCTGCACAGCCCTGGGCGAGGATAGCCTCCACATTTCTTTTGTTCTGGTTAGTCCTCACCCAGGTAATTTTCCATTGATTTTCTAAGAGTGGCAGAGAGGGGGAGAGACAGAGAGAGAAACATCTATGTTTGATTGGTTGCCTCCCACACACAGCCCAGTGGGGGCCAGGAAGGAGCCTGTAATTGTAATACATGCTCTTGACTGGAATCGAACCCGAGACGCTTCAGCAGAAGGCTGGTGCTCTAACCACTGCTCAACTGGCCAGGGATGGTCCCACATTTCCTGACTGGAGTCTGTAATGACCAGCGCGGCCCGGCCTCCTTGGCCGTGTTTGTGTGAGGAGTGCCCTGGGGCCATTTGGCAAGTTTGTGGCGCTGAGTTCTATTCTTAGGTCCTCTTCTGGCTTTGTGTGCTGTTTACCGAGAGCTTGGGAGGGGCTCCCTCTTGAGCATCTCACACACGTGTGTTCACGTGAACACACGGCACCAAGAGGGCAGGAGGGCTGAGGACCAGACTGGACTCCGGGCGTCCATGCTGTCGCCACTCCTGAGCGTCAGGCAGACCTGGACAAGCGGCCTGGCTCCGCGTCCCATTTCCAGCTCCGAAGGGGGTGGGTGTGAACAGGGCCTTGTGGATGTTCTCTGTGTGGCTTTAGGAGGAACGTCAGCAGGTGAGGGTTCCCAGGCCCGTGTGGCCTGGCTGAGGTGGATCCCAGGTGCCCACCTACCTGGGCGCCGGCCAGGTGGGAGGCCGCTCAGCAGCCAGGGGCAGCACCAGGCTGGGCTCTCTGGCCTTTGTTCTTGGGGTTCTGTCCCATGCAGGCCTTGAGCCGCTCGGAGCCCCAGCTGGAGTAGCCACGATCTGCTGGACGTCCTTCCAGGTCTCCGGGCCACACAAACACAGGCCCAGCAAGCTGGCAGCCTTCTGCGGGCATCTGTGTACCCTGACCCTGGCACCTCTCCTCTGGGGTCCCCACCTCCGGCTCCCTGCCTCCTGGCCCAGACAGAAGCAGCACCAACCATTGTGGCCTCAGACCCATGGCGAGGTGGCAGGTGGGGCACAGGGGCAGGGGAGGGCAGCAGGAGACGAGGCCCCGGAACTGAGGCCCCGCGTTAGACAAGAATGGAGAGGAGAAAGGCGGCCATGAAGCCGTGGACTTGCAGCACGCAGGGCGGGCGGCCGCGGGCCTCCGCCGGCTCCAGGTCACCGTGGGCCACGGCGATGACCCAGAAGATGACCCTCAGCTCTCCTGCTTAGTGGCTGGTGGCTTAGGGGAGACCACGGCCTCTCTGACTCTCCACTCAGGGGGGCAGCTGCTCCTGGGCTGCTGGCTGGGTGACCAGGAGCATCTGCCGAGCGTGTGGCCTGCCTCCCTGTGTGAGAGCGGTTCACGCAGGCAGTGAGGACCATGTGAGCACCTGCATGTGCCAGCGAGGGGATGAGCAGCAGCTGGGGACCGAGCCGGTGGGGAGGCGTGGGCAGTCTGCAGCCTGAGGCCCGCTCTCACTGTCTCCTAGGAGCGTGGAGCAGGCCGGGGCTGAGCGCCGTGTGGCCGCCTCCTGGCTGGGGCACTGCCCGTTTCTGAGCTTCTGGTGGGTGTCCAGCTGCCTGTGCCCCTGCTCCTAGCCCGCTGTCCTGGGGCCTCCCTCTGGGCCTCACTGTCTTCTGGACATGTCAGGGCTCCAGCCTTGTCTAGTTCTGACTCACAGTTCAGGTGGGTGAGGACGCTGGGGTCCTGCTGGTGGGAGGACCGTGCCTGCCCAGCTTCTGGTCTCCCTGTCCAGGCCCTCCGCTGGGTCCTCTGCTCCTTCCGACTCAGCCTGTTGAGAGAGGATGGTATCCTGGGCACCCGCGTCCCCAGTGCAAGTGGCCAGATGGTCTCCATGCCCACAGGGCCAGGTGGTGCCCTGGCTCCCAGCCTGCAGGGCGCTGGGGGGTGGCCACTGGCCTGTGTTCAGGGGCTGACGATGCTGCAGCTGTGGTTGTCTGGGCCTGTGGTGCTGAGTGCAGGCCCCAGGCCACCCAGTGTGCTGGGTGCGTCCTGGTTGCCTGGGTCGGGCTCCCCTGCGTGGGTGGAAGACCGTGATGCCGCTGAGGGCGTCCCATTGCTCCCGTTCACAGCGGAGGAGGGTGGGGGCAGGGGTGGTCCTGGGAAAAGATCAGGTCTTTGTTGGGGGTAAATTAGGGTCAAGTATCCGCCAGCCACGTCGAGGGTGACGGGGGGGAAGAAGGGGAGAGAGTTCCCGGGCCCGTGTGGGACGTGCACTGTCCTCTCTGTTGCAGGAGCCGCCCCTCTGGGAGCCGGCGTGGGGACAAGCAGCCAGGACCTCCCCGCGTCCGGCATGACCGCAGCTGGCCAGGCCTCCCCCTACAGCACCGTGTCGTTGTCAGAGGACGGGCTGCGCCTGGTCACCATGTCGGGCACCAATGGCTTTGGCAACGGCAAGGTGCATACGCGGCGCAGGTGCCGGAACCGCTTCGTCAAGAAGAACGGCCAGTGCAACATCGAGTTCGCCAACATGGACGAGAAGTCGCAGCGCTACCTGGCCGACATGTTCACCACCTGCGTGGACATCCGCTGGCGCTACATGCTGCTGCTCTTCTCGCTGGCTTTCCTCGCCTCCTGGCTGCTCTTCGGCGTCATCTTCTGGGTCATCGCCGTGGCCCACGGTGACCTGGAGCCGGCGGAGGCCCGCGGCCGCCCGCCCTGCGTGCTGCAAGTCCACGGCTTCATGGCCGCCTTTCTCTTCTCCATCGAGACGCAGACCACCATCGGCTACGGGCTGCGCTGCGTGACGGAGGAGTGCCCCGTGGCCGTCTTCATGGTGGTGGCGCAGTCCATCGTGGGCTGCATCATCGACTCCTTCATGATCGGCGCCATCATGGCCAAGATGGCCCGGCCCAAGAAGCGGGCGCAGACGCTGCTGTTCAGCCACCACGCGGTGGTGGCGCTGCGGGACGGCCGGCTCTGCCTCATGTGGCGCGTGGGCAACCTGCGCAAGAGCCACATCGTGGAGGCCCACGTGCGGGCCCAGCTCATCAAGCCCCGGGTCACGCCCGAGGGCGAGTACCTGCCGCTGGACCAGCTGGACATGGACGTGGGCTTCGACAAGGGCCTGGACCGCATCTTCCTGGTGTCGCCCATCACCATCTTGCACGAGATCGACGAGACCAGCCCGCTGTTCGGCATTAGCCGGCAGGATCTGGAGGCGGATGACTTCGAGATCGTGGTGATCCTGGAGGGCATGGTGGAGGCCACGGCCATGACCACGCAGGCCCGCAGCTCCTACCTGGCCAGCGAGATCCTCTGGGGCCACCGCTTCGAGCCTGTCCTCTTTGAGGAGAAGAACCAGTACAAGATCGACTACTCACGCTTCCACAAGACCTACGAGGTGCCCGCCACGCCCCGCTGCAGCGCCAGGGACCTGGCGGAGAACAAGTTCCTGCTGCCTGGCACCAGCTCCTTCTGCTACGAGAACGAGCTGGCCTTCGTGAGCCCCGACGAGGAGGACACGGATGAGGACGACCCGGCCGGCGGCCTTCAGGCCAGGCTCGGCCTCGCCAGGCCCCCTGCCGGCGGCAGTGCCCTGGAGCCACGGCCCTACCGGCGGGAGTCGGAGATCTGAGTGGCCGTGGCCATGGGCAGCCTCTCCGCTGGGGCAGGCCCTGTGTGAGCAGAACAGACGGGGCCGGGCCCTGGTGTGAGCAGAACAGACGGGGCCGGGCCCTGTGTGAGCAGAACAGACGGGGCCGGGCCCTGTGTGAGCAGAACAGACGGGGCCGGGCCTTGTGTGAGCAGAACAGACGGGGCGGGCCCGGGTGGCCGACGCAGTCTGACATTAGACCTTTCGTGCTGCACAGCGGCCTGGGGAGGCCGGTGGGGGTGTGGGCGGCGGAGCGGCCCAGGGGCTGGTGCGTCTGCCTGAGGGAGAGCCGCGGCCGCCCAGCCCCGGGAGAGGCCGCTGGCTGCAGGGCCCCCACTGGTTTTAACTCGGGGAGAAATCATGGGTCTCCACTTTCTCAATCTCAGCTTGAGGAAGACTCTACAAAAAAATTAACGTGATTAAACCTTTCTTAAATTCACGGCTGAAAAAGAAAAGACACGGAATTCCATTGTGGCCGGAGGCCCCGCAAGCCCCCCCGAGGCGGGAGGCCCAGGCCGCGTCCGCCGCGCAGCCCTCGCTGTGGCCGGTGCTCAGGGCGGGCGGGGCCGGTCCCGTGCGGGGGGGGGGGGGGGGCGCGGGGAACCAGGGCCCTTAGAGCTCCTGAGGCTTCGGTGCTGCGGAGGCGGGCGCCGGGGCGGAGAGAGCCGGCTTCTGGGTTGGTCTGTGCACCTCACCGGCGCCCCTCAGGGTCTGATGTGAGCCCTGCCTCCGCGGAGGGCCCCCCTGCTCTCTCCTTCGCTGGCCCATGGCCCCCGCCCCTCCCCAGAGATGGGCCTCTGCAAACCTGCAGGGAGGGTGCTCCGGGGAGGGCACCTGCAGCCCACCCTGTGGGACCAGAGGGGTTGTGCCTTAGAGACACCGTGGGTCTGGCTCAGTTCCTCATGGTCTGGGACTCCCCTAACCCCTCCCCGACTCCACCACCACGTTCCCGCAGCCCCTCTGTCTGCAGAGGCCAGGCTGATGTGCTCTCCCTGACCCCGGCAGCAGGCAGGAGCCCATGAGCGGCAGCCAGGCCGTGTCCTGCCTGATGGAGAGGACCAGTGTTCAGAGAGGTGTGACCTCTCACTGAAGGGTCAGGAGCGGCACACACCCAGGAAGGGGTTTGGGGCTGTGGGCACCTGGCCCAGCAGCTGCCCAGTGCAGGCTGCTGCTTATGGAGAAGCCAGCTGGGCAGGGGCGGGGGAGGGGTGGGGGCTGAGGGGTGAGGCCGGACCCTGGGACAGAGCCATGCCCCTTCCTGGGACAGCTCAGCACGCTGCCCTCCAAGTGGCCAGGCCCGTAAGGAAGTGGGTATTAGAGAGCCGGTGGCTCTTGGCCTTGCCTGTCCCGGCTGCTCCAACCTGCACCCCCATGAGAGCTCACAGCCTGAAGGCACCAGGGACTCGGGCTCAAGTGGGAAACAGGCAGCATGCAAGGTCATGCACGTAGGGAGTGGGACTCTGGGGACAGGGAGAAGCGGGGCCTGGGTGGGTCAGCCTTCCACTCACTGCATCCAGCACTGAGGCCAGAGGCCCTGGAATCCAGGCCCTGGTGGTGTGGGGTGGCCAGGTGCTCTCCACCCAGTCGTCCCCTCTGGGGCCCATGCAGGCGGCTTAGCTCCCAGATCCTGCAGGGCCAGCCCCTCGCTGCCCGTCATCTCTTGCCCTTTCCTTCCTCCCTTTATTTATTTATTTATTTATTTATTTATTTATGTATTTATTTATGTATGTATTTATGTATTTATTTATTTATTGCCTGTGCTGAAGACCAAAATAGTCTCCCTCCTCAATGCGCTGGACGGAGGGTGGCTGGGCAGGCCTACGGTGTGTGCAGAGCATGGTTCATACAGCTCCTGGGAGAGTGCGAGGGGGTGTGCCCACGGTGGTGTGTAGAGAGCGTGTTAACCCACTGAATGTTCTGCTCATAGATGAGTGGAGGTGCTTGTATACATGTGTGTGCATGTGGCGTGTGGCAAGTGTGTGTATACATGCATGTGTGGGTACTTAGTGTGTGGTCTGTGCTGAGCAGTTGTGTGTTCCAACCTGCTCCTACCTTCCCCCTCCCAGGCAGTGGGATGTCCAAGAACTTTCCAGTAGCCTGGACCCTCTCGTGGGAAGGCCATGTGTTTTCTATGTGGGCACCAGGCTGTACGGTGGGGCACAGTGCTGAGGACTGACACTGGCCAGAGACGCCAGCTCTGCCTGCGCAGGAGTCCCACGGACCTTCAGCCCTGGGCTTGTCCTAAGCGGGCAAGGCTTCCATGTGCCTGGGTGTGAGGTGATATCTACACACGTATGTGAGTCTTAGGCCCACGGCAGTAGTGATTGTGTGTGGGAGACCTTCTGTATGTATTTGTCCCTCTGTATGTGGTATGTTTGGGTGGCAGCTGTGCCAGGTTCTGAGCAGGGCTGGGGCCTGCCTGCTGGGCGGTATGTGTGTGCGCGTGTGTCAGGGGTCTTGTGTCCAGGTGTGTGCCCTGCATGCAGCTCTCTGCCCACGGTGCGGGCCGCCTATTTTCTGCCTGCACGCGGTCCCGGGGGTTGGGGCCTGGTAGGAAGGAGCCCTCTGCGTAGGGGTGTCTGCCCTTTGTAAGACAGCAAAATTTCAAAATATATTTTAAGTGGCAAACTTCCATGTGACTTGCATGCCAAGCAGTGTCTGGAGGCGTGGGCCAGTGCCGCCCTGTGGAGGCTGTCTTGAAGGACCTGCCCGACCCTACACGCGCCACCGTTCCGTCCTCCATCAGCCCCATGTCTGCAGCAGGGGCTCCTGGGAGCCGTCCAGGTGGAGGGGAGGGAATAGGGCAGCAGCTTGGGGACCCCTCCTGGCAGAGCCTGGCACACCCTTCCAGCAGCACCTCCTCTACCCCAGGCCCTCTCCCAGGCGGGCCCTGAGAAGCCAGACCATCCACCCGGGCTGTGCCACCCTCCCCCGCTGGCTGGCCTTGCCATGGCCTGTCCTCTCTGGGCCTGGGCCTTCCACTTCTCCTTCCTCCTGCAAAGATGTGATGTGCGCCCCCTGCAGGAGAGCAGAGGCTCACTTGAACCCACAGCCCTGGGAGGCCCGGGCAAGGCTACAGTCTGGTTCTTGCTGATGTGGCAGGAGAGGAAGCTGGGTGCCCCTGCTGCAGCTGAGTGGGGGTGTAGGCCAGACGAGGCTGCTGGCAGTGCCCCGCGCGGGCGGGAGGAAGGCGTGCAGGCCCAGGGTGGGCTCAGCCTCCAGCTCTCAGCGGCCTCCTGGCCGAGGCCACCGGGAGAGAACCCTTGCTCACAGTCTCCACAGTCTGAGAACTTGCAAAGGACCTGGGGGTGTTGCCTTGGGTTGCACCTCAGCCCTTACCCAGGATGGGTCCCTGGAGGCTGCTCTGGCAAATAGTCTGGCTAGACAAGAAGGAGCAGACGAATGACCCGGCACCTATCCCATTCTTCCTGACAGTCAGCCACAACCCCTCTGGGGCTTCAGTTTCCCCACGTGCAGTCTGGATGAGAAGTGATGTTCTTTGAGGGCTGAGTGCTGGGCAGGCAGTGTGGGTCCAAGTGTTAGAGAGCCTTTCTTCCCCTCCCCTCCCTTCCCCCCCACCCCTCCCTTTCCTGGCCGGGGTGGTGCTTGCTCCCCAGGGAGGCCCGGGGCAGTGCCGGGGCCCTAACTGTGTCCTGTACAACCCAGAGGGCCCTCCCCATCATGACAGCAATGGTGACCTCCTCACGACCACAGTTCTGGAGAAGAGCTGCCGGCTCAGTGGGAAGGGCTCCATGCGGGGGGGGGGGGGGGGTCACAGGGGCAGGAGGCACAGAGGGGCAATGTCAACAGACCCCACAACTTCTTCGAACCCACTGATGGGCTAGGACAGTGAAAGGGGGGTGCAGCCTCACACTGACAGACACAGCCTGCACACACACAGCACACCTCAATGCACACACACACAGCACACCTCAATGCACACACACACAGCACACCTCAATGCACACGCACACACACACACACAATGTGGCCACGGAAAAGAACGCAGGCAACACTGGGTGAATCTCAGCCCCAGTGTTGAATGAAAGGGTCCCGGCACAGAGCCCTGCCCGGCAGCTGAGAAGAGTTGCCTGGAATTCAAACTCCCCCCGTCCCCCACCCGGAGTCCAGAGCAGGCGCCCGGGGGAGCAGGTTGGCCCGTGGCTGGATGTCCAGGGACAGACTGTCCCGTTGGAGCAGGGAGCTGGGTGTGGGCTCAGAGAACTGGCAGCGCCGTGACCGCGGGCAGGTGGCAGCCCGCCCTCTGTGCCTGCCTAGGAGGGCTCTGCCTGCAGGGAGCGGAGTCCCAAAGGCGTCAGCAAAGGGCAGGCAGTGTGGCCTTGGGTCAGAGGCCAACAAGGGCCACACCCCTGTGGAAGTCAGTGAGGCAGTTTCCTGTTACGTTATAACGCTCCCCATAGGGTCAGGCCAGCCCATGCACACGCTGCTCAGGAGAAACGGAATCCCCATTTCACACAGAACCTGGAAGTGGGTATTGCAGGGGCTTTGTGTGTCACGGCTCCAACGGAGGAGTCCCCGGAAAGTGGCTCAAAGACAGGGTGGCCTGTGGCTTTTGGCCCAGCTCCCTGTGCAGCGGAAGGAGGCAGAGCGAATACTGTGGGGCCCTGGCAGGCCAGCGCGACCCTGTGAGAGGCTGGCGGGACCAAGGCTCTTCCCTCTGCCTGAACATACCCCGCTCTCTGCCTCCAGCTGACCAGGCTGGCCTGGCTCATGCAGGATGGAGACCCTGGACCCTGGGTGCTGGAAGCGTTGTGCCCAGAGGCGGGCAGTCCTGGGTAGCAGGTGCTGTTGCAGGCCACTTTGCTCCCCTTCCTGTCATTCTCTGGTTCTCCCCCACCCCCACCCCTACCACCAACTCTGGTGAGCATCCTGCCTCTCCCCTCCTCTTCGTGAAGGTGTGGAGTGAACCCCAGCCCCCCCCCCCCCGTGAGCACTCCCCAACAGCGGCCCCCAATCGGGAA